GCAATTTGACAGGAAATTTAGAATCAAGTGACTTAATTGATACGATTCAGGATTCTTTTTTAAAGCAGTTTGTGACAGAGCCAACTAGAGGAAATAACCTGCTTGACTTGGTTCTTGCCAGCAGGGAAATGCTAATTAATAATCTTGATGTTAATGATGAGCTCGGGGAAAGTGATGACAAGCCACTCAGTTTTAATATATCATGGAATTCCCCTAATAATGGCAATCAAGTCTCTGTCCCTGACTTCCGCTTAGCTGATTTCATAGGACTGAAAAATTACTTGGGTGGGCTGAACTGGAATGACCCGACTGTGGGTCAGGTAGGTGGTGATGATTGCTGATATGACGTTTTCCAGGGCATAGTTCTAGCTGCTCAGACAACTTATGTTCCAAATAAGGAAATCAGATCAAGCAAAAATGATCCTAAATGGATGAACAATAGATTAAAACATCTCATTTGTCAAAAGAGAGGCATATATAGGCAAATCAAAAGGGGAGAGGTGCAATTAAGAAATCAATATATTCAGTTAAAGAGAGAAATAAAAAAGGGACTAAGAAAAGCAAAAAGAGATTATGAGGTTAAAGTTGCAAGAGAATCGAAGACTAACCCAAAAGGATTCTTTCAGGTATACAGAAGTAAGATCAGGGACAAGATAGGCCCACTCAAAAGTTACTTGGGTCAGCTCACAGACAGTGATAAGGAAATGTGTAGAATTTTTAACACAAACTTCCTCTCAGTTTTTACTCAGGAAGATACTAGCTATATTCCAGAAAAAATAAATTATGTAGAACAGGATGATGATAAACTGTGCACGATTAGGGTCACAAGTGACATGGTTCTTAGGCAGATTGATAAATTAAAACCTAACACATCCCCAGGCCCTGATGAACTGTATGCAAGGGTACTAAAAGGAATGTAAAGAGGAGCTTAGCAAACCTCTGGCTAATCTTTTCAACATATCACTACAGACTGGCATGGTGCCAGATAAGTGGAAAATGGCAAATGTGACACCTATTTTCAAAGCAGCTGACAGGTCCTTAGCTTCGAACCATAGACCGATAAGCCTAACCCCCATAGTGGGAAAATTTATGGAATCAATAATTGCCGAGGCAGTTCGTAGCCACCTTGAAAAGCACAAATTAATCAACGAATCTCAGCATGGTTTTACAAAGGGGTGTTCCTGCCTTAAGAATTTATTAACTTTTTTCACTAAGGTATTTGAGGAGGTAGATCATGGTAATGAATATGATATTGTGTATATGGACTTCAGTAAGACTTTTGACAGGGTCCCACATCAGAGACTATTGAGGAAAATTAAGGCACATGGAATAGGAGGAGAATTTTTTTCTTGGATAGAGGCATGGTTGACAAATAGGCAGCAGAGAGTTTGCATAAATGGGGAGAAATCAGAGTGGGGAAGCGTCACGAGCGATGTTCCACAGGGGTCAGTGTGTTGGGCCCCTGTTGTTCACAATCTACATAAACGACATTGATGAGGGCATAAAGAGCGACATAAGCAAGTTTGCCGATGACACCAAAATAGGCCGTCGAATTCATTCTGACGAGGACATTAGAGCACTGCAGGAAGATTTGAATAGACTGATGCAGTGGTCGGAGAAGTGGCAGATGCAGTTTAATATAGATAAATGCAAAGTTCTAAATGTTGGACAGGAAAATAACCATGCCACATATAAGCTAAATAATGTCAATCTTAATATTACGGATTGTGAAAAAGATTTAGGAGTCCTGGTTAGCAGTAATCTGAAGCCAAGACAACAGTGCATAAGTGTTCGCAATAAAGCTAGCAGAATACTTGGCTTCATATCAAGAAGCATAAATAATAGGAGTCCTCAGGTTGTTCTTCTACTCTATAGATCCTTGGTTAGACCTCGTTTAGATTATGCTGCACAGTTTTGGTCACCATATTATAGAATGGATATAAATGCTCTGGAAAACATACAAAGGAGGATGACAAAGTTGATCCCTTGTATCAGAAATCTTCCCTATGAGGATAGACTGAGGTCCTTGAATCTGCACTCTCTAGAAAGGCGTTGAATTAAGGGGGAGATGATTGAGGTGTATAAATGGAAGACGGTAATAAATAAAGGGGATGTAAATAACGTTCTGAAAATGTCTAGACAGGACTCGTAGCAATGGTTTTAAGTTGGAAAAATTCAGATTCAGGAAGGATATAGGAAAGCACTGGTTTGGTAATAGAGTTGTGGATGAGTGGAACAAACTCCCAAGTACAGTTATTGAGGCTAAAACGTTGTGTAGTTTTAAAAATAGGTTAGATAAATACATGAGTGGGTGTGGGTGGGTGTGAGTTGGACCTGATTAGCTTGTGCTACTAGGTCAGTTGTCGTATTCCTTCCTTAAGTGAATGTGACCTGCCCTGACTAGGTTGGGGCATTGGCTTAAGCCTTTAGGAGACTTGGACTTGCCTTGCATGGGCCAGTAGGCCTGCTGCAGTGTTCCTTCATTCTTATGTTCTTATGCAAATCTCTACCAGCTGTGTGAATTCCTGGGATAGAAGACAAAGTTTGTGTGGTGTACGTCCTCTGTTGGGCGTAGTGGTAAGGAGAGTTATGTCTGGCTTCATTGTTTTAGGAAGAGCCACACACATTCAGATACTGAAGTTAAAGTGTTCTGATTAAAGAAAAAGATTTTATTTCTTTGCAAAGTTTACAATGTGTGATTACATTTTCGATTTGTTAAGTACACAGAAAGTCACTATCATGTCGGGACATTTCGGGCAGACTAAACCTAATGCTTTCAGACTACTTAATACTAGACATATAAAGAGTAGTAAATTTTAATTATACATCGTTTTTCTTATTGCAACAGAGGTAGCTTGTGGTTTACAGTAATTAAATTTATAGTTGAGATGAAGTATATAAAAAATTATAGTATATTACAATTTAGCACAATTTACAATAATGAGAGTGAAACAATTTTAAGTTTAAAATAATGCTTAAATAATTGAGCAATCGTAAATTATTTAGGAAATTTTTGAGTTACTGGTAGGTGATGAATAGTGTTTGTTTAGTTAATTTTGGGGAATGGTGATTTCTAAGTAGAGCCTTAAATTGGCTTGCAAGCAGGGGACTTTTTTGTATGTTCAGGCAATGAATTCCAGATCTTCAGGCCCTTTATGTGCCTAACATTTTTTCATAGGGAGAGATGGAGATGAGGGATATCAAAGAGTGTTTTGTGCCTTGTGTTATGCCTGTGTGTTGCAGTTATCAAGGAGGAGTTTGAGAGGATGGTTTATCTTTCTTTCTTTCAACACACCGGCCGTATCCCACCGAGGCGGGGTGGCCCAAAAGGAAAAACGAAAATTTCTCCTTTTACATTTAGTAATATATACAGGAGAAGGGGTTACTAGCTCCTTGCTCCCGGCATTTTAGTCGCCTCTTACAACACGCATGGCTTACGGAGGAAGAATTCTGTTCCACTTCCCCATGGAGGTAAGAGGAAATAAACAAGAACAAGAACTAGAAAGAAAATAGAAGAAAACCCACAGGGGTGTGTATATATATGCTTGTACATGTATGTGTAGTGTGACCTAAGTGTAAGTAGAAGTAGCAAGACATACCTGAAATCTTGCATGTTCATGAGACAGAAAAATGGACACCAGCAATCCTACCATCATGTAAAACAATTACAGGCTTTCGTTTTACACTCAATTGGCAGGACGGTAGTACCTCCCTGGGTGGTTGCTGTCTACCAACCTACTACCTACAAGGATGGTTTATATTGGAGTATAATGGTCTGTGTATGTGGTAGGCACAATAATGTGTGGATATTTTGTATATTAAGCAAGTTCAGGCTCTTAAATAGCAGTGGAGTGTGTTGCCTGGCGCAGGAGTTAGTAATCAATCGCGCAGCAGCTTTTTGATTTGCTGTAGCTGAGCCCCATGTACAAATACCACAGGTTGAGGTAAGGGTAGATGAGAGAGTGGCAAAGAGCAAGAAGTGCCGTCTGGAGTACATAGTACCGTATTTTAGAGAGGATGCCTACTGTTTTGGAGACTTTCTTGGATATATGCTGTATATGGGTCTGAAATTTAAGACAGCAGTCAAGGTGGAGACCTAGAAATTTGCCCTCAGTGTGTCTTAGAATTGGGGAGCCATTAATTGATATGTTTAGCTGAACATTTGAAGCTTTGTTTCCAAACAGCAAGAAGTAGGTTTTGTCTATATTGAGAGTAAGTTTGTTGATCGTCATCCAAGTAGATATTTTTAGTAGCTCGTCGTTTACAGTGTCTCTAAGTATAGTTAGATCTGGGTGGGAGAAGACATAAATAGTGCCATCTGCAAATAAAATGGGTTTAAAGAGTTCAGAAGTGGGCCAAGGGCACTGCCCTGTGAGACTCCAGCAAGAACAGATTGTGTAGTGGAGGTAATACCATTTGTGTATACATACTGGTGTCTATTGCTAAGGTAAGATTTTAAGTAATCGAGAGTGTCCTCTGACCCCAGGGAGGTACTATCGTCCTGCCAAGTGAGTGTAAAACGAAAGCCTGTACTTGTTTTACATGATGGTAGGATTGCTGGTGTCCATTTTTCTCCCTCATAAACATACAAGGTTTCAGGTACGTCTTGCTACTTCTACTTAGGTCACATTACACTTACATGTACAAACATATATATACACACACACCCCTCTGGGTTTTCTTCTATTTTCTTACTAGTTCTTGTTTATTTCCTCTTGCCTCCATGGGGAAATGGAACAGAATTCTTCCTCTGTAAGCCATGCATGTTGTAAGAGGCAACTAAAATGCCAGGAGCAAGGGGCTAGTAACCCCTTCTCCTGTATATATTACTAAATGTAAAAGGAGAAACTTTCGTTTTTCTTTTTGGGCCACCCCGCCGTGGTGGGATACGGCCGGTTTGTTGAAAAAAAAGTACGTATATATACATACAAACATATACATATATGATTGAGTATATATGTATGGTAAACAAAATTACCAGTCTTCATATTTATCTGCAGGTGAGAAGGTCAACTCCCCAGACAAGGACTATCCCCGGGATAGTGTAGCTAAACCGGACCTCATAAACTGTACCGTCACTATCCTCTCTGGCTCCAGGGACCACAAGATTGGATTCTTAACCGAGTGGATGCGGGCTATTGCCTTTATGAAACGTATGTAAAATTTGTGATTTTAATGGTTGCTTATATTAATAAGTAAAACAGTCATAGCACATATTATTTTATTGAGTAATGTCCCTATATGTTCCTTTCATATCTTTCTCTATGTGCTCTTTTTACCTTTAACCCTTCAAGGAGATGTCTCTGTACACAGGCATAAAGGATCCAAGGAATTGGAGCTCCCCTCACCTTCCTAGGAACAAACCTATTTGTCTCCCATTTCACAAACTGGGGTTATATGATCCCAGTTGGCTCAGTTCTTTCAATGATAATATTTCCTTTGAAATACATTCAATCACAGTACATACTTGTTTGCTTCTTTTTACTACTGGAATAATAAGCATGTGCCTCCCTGTAACTATCCTTTAGCTCATACTTATAAATCAGTAAACAGGACTTATTAGGCATGTTCAAGAGGATTCTTTAAAGCAATTCCCTGAATTGTTTGCTTTTGATTTATCTGTTTTTTTTTCATTCTCCAAACTTTTCTTTATAACCTGAGAATGCTACATCCAAAAGGCTTCATTCAATTTTTTAACTCTGGTTTAGTGTACTGGGGAAAAAGTTCATGCAACTATTGGTAGGTGCAGGTACCCTATGATCAATGTTATATATCCATTCCAAATTTCCTGGAATGAATATGATAACATTCCAGATAGGTCTGGAGCTAGGATCACAGGTCGGGAGGAAGGGGGGATGGAAGGGGCCAGATGTAGATGCTTGAATGAGAAGGGTTGGGTTTGATTAGTACCTGAGGTATTAAGACAAATTGTCATGTAGCCTTGGGGAAAGGACAAATAGGTAGGTGGGAATGATTGGTTTTGCAAAGAACCTGCCTTGTATGGGTCAGTAGGCCTATTGTGGTATTCCTCCATTTTTATGTTCTTATTATGTGGCATAATTTTACTTTTCTTTAGTCAGGCCTGCATTGAAATTAAGGGAAGTAAGGGAAACTTGTTTATCAGAAAGATAAAGGCGCGTTCAGAATTCAGCACATTTATTGGAAGTGTATCACCACTGATGGCTTCCTCAATTGTAATACAGACACAAAAACAAGTACAGTGGACCCCCGCTATACGATCACCTCCCAATGCAACCAATTATGTAAGTGTATTTATGTAAGTGCGTTTGTACGTGTATGTTTGGGGGTCTGAAAGGACTAATCTAACTCACAATATTCCTTATGGGAACAAATTCGTTCAGTACTGGCACCTGAACATACTTCTGGAATGAAATAATATCGTAAACTGGGGGTCCACTGGATATATTAGTGCACGAGGTCAGGTGAGCAAAGTCTACTGTAAGAGTGGGGTTATATATTACAGGTAACATGTACTGCTCTTTTCTTTTCACCTCATCGCTGATTTCAGACAAAATGCAGTACGCATTCTCAACGGGAGCAATTTTAATATTATAAAGGAAATACCAGCTAAATATGTTGTTCTGCCTGTTAGCAATGTAGCTTCCAACACATTTGTGAAAATGAAGAGCATTCAGTTTAAAATAGCAACAAGCTGTTTGACCTGTCAAAGATTTAGCAAGGAACAGACTGACAATGCTCTAGAGGACAAACAAAATGCAGATGTAGTATACACAGACTGTGAAAGTCTTTGATGAGTGTGACCACAGTGCAATAGCACACAAAATGCGTGAAAAACGAATAATGGGAAAAGTTGGTAGATAGATCTATAGCTTCCTAACAAATAGAAGACAAAGAATAAAAGTGAACAGAGTAAAGTCTGAGGGGATGGCCACAGTGAAAAACTCTGTTCCACAAGTCACAGTACTCGTTCCCATCTTGTTTCTCATCCTCATATCCAACATAGAGATGTAAGCCACAGCACTGTGTCTTCCTTTGTAGATGACACCTAATTTTGCATGAGTGTCCTCCATCGAAGAGACTGCAAGACTTCAAGCGGACATCAACCAAATCTTTAACCGGGCTACAGAAAACAATATGAAGTTCAGTGAAGAGAAATTTCAATTACTCCGATTGGAAAAGTATATCGAAGTATAAAACAAATTCTAACCACACCAATAGAGCGGAAAACTAATGTGAAGCACCTGGGAGTGATGTCAGAGGATCTCACTTTCAAAGATCACAACAATGTATTCACCACATCTGCTAGAAAAATGAAAGGATGGATAATGAGAAACTTCAAAACTAGGGACGCCAAGCCCATGATTCTCTTCAAATCGCTTGTTCTCTCTAGGTTGGAATATTCCTGTACACTAATGATGCCTTTCAAGGCAGGTGAAATTGCTGACCTGGAGAGTGTACAGAGTTTTCACGGCTTTCTCTAAGTACTATAAAACACTTAAATTACTGGGAATGGTTGATGTTCTTTGACTTGTAGTCAGTGGAATGCAGGTGGGGAAGATGCATAATATACACCTGGAAAATCCTATTAGTACCAAATTTGCACATGAAAGTCACTCCCTACGAAAGTAAAAGATTCGGCAGGCGGTGCAGCATCCCCAAAGTGAAAAGCAGGGGCTTCACGAGCACGCTATGAGATAACACAATAAGTATCAGGGGCTCAAGACTGTTCAGCTGACTCCCAGCATGCATAAGGGGGATTACCAATAGACCCCTGGCTGTCCTCAAAAAGGTACTGGACAGGCACCTTGTCAGCACCTGACCAGCCAGGCTGTGATTCATAAGTCAGTCTACGTGCGGCCAGCAGTAACATCCTGGTTTATCAGCGTTATTTTTTCTTATGAAATGGTAAAGAATCTTTTCATGAAGGTAATAAAACAAAAAGTACAAAGTTTGATGGAAAATTGACGAAATTACACTCGCGAATTTTGCTGTCAGCAGTATTGACGCATCAGCGATTTTGCTCACTTTGAGTCCTATTTTAGGCCAATTACATTGTTCCAGTTGACCAAATTATTAGCTACTTCACTAGTATGCCTTCAATTTTATCGAATGTGCACAAGAAATCGCCCAATCAACTATTTCAACTATTCAATAAAGTGATCAGAAATTGGTAATTTGGCCCATTTCACACAAATTTCAAAATATTCCAATTTCAAAATAGGGTCCAGAATAAATAATTTAGGCATTCCTGGCACTAAAATCACATTTCCTCTGTTCGTTAATTACATTCTCAGGCTTTACACATTAATTCCATTTTGATTTATTATTCACACAAAAATAGAAGATTTACTGTTATGCAATATTGTAATAATTGTATAAATAATATCAGTGTGTTCATGAATGCATGTTAGACCCACCAGTTGGACGTGTATTGGACATGTGATGTGATTTGTTTACTCTTGAACATCGGCAAAAATCGAACATTTCCCCTACTTTGAGCTCAATTTCAAGCTATTTTCGGCCCCAAAACCAATCAGTCATCTTTATTTATGTAATATATCTTTCATACTATAAAATGAGACCAAGAAACTGTGAATACAGTCTTGGTTCAGAGGACATCTACAAGACCACCTTCACGGCTACTACAACTAACCCATCCCTTTGGGTAGGACCTACTTCCACTGGGGAATCCTGCCTACCAGTGACTATGCCTTCGTCTGCTACACGTCCCTATCCACTGACGCCTATACAGTGGACCCCCGCATAACGATCACCTCCGAATGCGACCAATTATGTAAGTGTATTTATGTAAGTGCGTTTGCACGTGTATGTTTGGGGGTCTGAAATGGACTAATCTACTTCACAATATTCCTTATGGGAACAAATTCGGTCAGTACTGGCACCTGAACATACTTCTGGAGTGAAAAAATATCGTTAACCGGGGGTCCACTGTATAACCACCAGTCTTCTTGCCTTTGCTCCAGATTCTCCACCACCATGATGCTGTGAACACTAACTCCAAGGCTGAGGGACTGATTATCTCAACTTTTGTATATAGTTCTACTGTCTTCTAATTATGTCCTAGAATCTGTATTGATAAAGCCACCGGATGGCGAAACGTGTACAATAAAGATATCTGGATGTTGCACATGTGTCTTAACTTTCATAAAAAACACATGAAAAATACACCATAAAATCGCTGTTTTAAACCAAAAACACGGTCGCAGTTTTTTCTTGTTATTCACTGCATGCTGCAGGTTTTTCTTAATGTGGTGCACACTTATCACAAAGACCCATTCTCTCATACCTATGCCTAGATTTACCGCTCACAACTTATCTGAGTGAGATGAGCTCATGGCATAGAACTAGGTAACAAAAAAAGGCACAATACCGTGACTTTGTAAATGGTCCAAGTTGGACCGAAACGTCGTCGTAAGCTTCTCTCTTTTATGTGAGGGTTATTTGTGTATAGAACTAAGTCACTGACATTGGCTTCAAAGCTGTAGAACTACTGCACTGAACCTCAAGTGGTTAAAACCTTATGTACAATATCAATTGTACTTTTCCTATTGCTTCTTCTGATTCTGTATTTTATGTTAATTCATTTCTTATTCAGAGTTTCAATCAGTTTGTGACATATATACTTTATTTAAAATCTTTCATTCTGTAAATGCACTTTGGTATACGTGGAGGGAGTTCCAGGGGTCAACGCCCCCGCGGCCTGGTCTGTAACCAGGCTTCATGGAGGATCAGGGCCTGATCAACCAGGCTTTCGATAGAGTTCCACACCAGAGGCTATTGAGGAATCTTAGGGCACACGGAATAGGAGGAGACATTTTTTCCTGGGTAGAGGCATGGCTGACAAATAGACAGCAGAGAGTTTGCATAAATGGGGAGAAATCAGAATGGGGGCACGTCACAAGCGGTGTTCCTCAGAGGTCCGTGTTGGGCCCGTTGTTGTTCACAATTTACATAAACGACATAGATGAGGGAATAAATAGTGACATAAACAAATTTGCTGATGACACCAAAATAGGCCGTCCAATTCATTCTAATGAGGACATTAGAGCACTCCAGGATGATTTGAATAGACTGACGCAATGGTCGGAGAAGTGGCAGATGCAGTTTAATATTGACAAATGCAAAGTTCTAAATGTTGGACAGTTAAATAACCATGCCACATATAAACTAAATAATAGAGATCTTAATACTACTGATTGCGAAAAGGATTTAGGAGTTCTGGTTAGCAGTAATCTAAAACCAAGACAGCAGTGCATTAGTGTTCGCAATATAGCTAACAGAATTCTTGGCTTCATATCTAGAAGTATAAATAATAGAAGTCCTCAGGTTGTTCTTCAACTCTATATATCCTTGGTTAGGACTCAGTTAGACTATGCTGCTCAGTTCTGGTTACCGTATTACAGAATGGATATAAATGCTCTGGAAAACGTACAAAGGAGGATGACGAAGATGATCCCATGTATCAGAAATCTTCCCTATGAGGATAGACTGAGGGCCCTGAATCTGCACTCTCTCGAAAGGTGTAGAATTAGGGGGGATATGATCGAGGTGTATAAATGGAAAACAGGAATAAATAAAGGGGATGTAAATAGTGTGCTGAAAATTTCCAGCCAAGACAGGACTCGCAGCAGTGGTTTCAAGTTGGAAAAATTCAGATTCAGAAAGGATATAGGAAAGCACTGGTTTGGTAATAGAGTTGTGGATGAGTGGAACAAACTCCTGAGTACAGTTATTGAGGCTAAAACGTTGTGTAGTTTTAAAAATAGGTTAGATAAATACATGAGTGGGTGTGGGTGGGTGTGAGTTGGACCTGACTAGCTTGTGCTGCTGGGTCTGGTACAGTGCTCCATCCTTGAGTGGGGATGACCAGACTGGGTGGGTCATTGGGATAATCCGGGGTGGGTCATTGGTCTAATCCAGGGGGGAACACATGGACCTGCTCCACATGGGTCAGTAGGCCTGTTGCAGTATTCCTTCTTTCTTATGTTCTTGTTGGCTGCACACAGTCCAATCTATGAACCACAGCCTGGCTGGTCAGGTACTGACTTTAGGTGCCTGTCCATTGTTTGAAGACAGCCAGAGGTCTATTTGTAATCCTCCTTTTGTATGCTGGGAGGCAGTTGAACAGTTTTGGGCCCCTGACACTTATTGTGTTCTCTTATCAAGCTAGTGGCACCCCTGCTTTTCATTGGGGTGATGTTGCATCGTGTGCCGAGTCTTTTGCTTTCGTAGGGAGTGATTTTCGTGTGCAAGTTTGGTACTAATCGCTCTAGGATTTTCCAGGTGTATATAATCATGCATCTCTCCCGCCTGCGTTCTAGGGAGTACAGGTTGAGGAACTTTAAGTGTTTCCAGTAATAGAGGTGTTTTATTTCCTTTGTGTGCTGTGAAGGTTCTCTGTACATTTTCTAGGTCAGCAATTTCACCTGCCTTGAAAGGTGCTGTTAGTGTGCAGTAATATTCCAGCCTAGATAGAATAAGTGACGTGAAGAGTGTCATCATGAGCTTGGCATCCCTGGTACTTTATTCAGTAGTATACTTTATTCTGTATCACACATTTCACCTTCCTGTGTTCATAGGGATCAAACTCCAACTCTTGGACCACACCTCTTAACTAATGATCGTTTGATGGATTTACATAGACTTGCTACCTCCCTCCTTGAATGCACCCCACTTCTTCAATGTCCTCACTCGGAAGAAATTCCTATTTTCTTGAGTCCTGGAGGAGGGAAGTACAGTGCCTCTACTCTGAAGGAGGGGTGGACATAGGTATGCCTCTGGCAAGACAGTGATTGAGCGATGGTGAAAGTGTTTCTTCTTTTTCAGGTCACCCTGCCTTGGTGAGAAGTGGATGGTGTGTTAAAATAAATTTAATATTGGGTATCATTGTTACACAGCATTTAAAAAATATATTGGTGTACTTGGAAAGCCCTAGATGGATTAATACCAAACTTGCACACGAAAATCACTCCCTATGAAAGCAAGAGACTTGGCAGACGATGCAACATCCCTGCAATGAAAAGCAGGGGTGCCACTAACACGATAAGAGAAGAAAATAAGTGTCAGGGGCCCAAGACTGTTGTTCAACTGCCTTCCAGCATACATAAGGGGGATTACCAATAGACCCCTGGCTGTCTTCAAGAAGGCACTGGACAGGGACCTAAAGTCAGTACCTGACTAGCTGGGCTGTGGTTCGTACACCGGGTTGTGTGCGGCCAATAGCAACAGCCTGGTTGATAGGCCCTGATCCACCATGAGGCCTGGTCACAGACCGAGCCATGGGGGCGTTGACCCCTAAAACCCTCTCCAGGTATACTCTCATAATATATTTATAATTTGCTTTTGTTTTTTATCTGTTTTGAAGAATTGTTGGCATCAACCTATGATAATGACTATAGTAATTGCATTTTATGGTGATTGTTGACTATGACCTTATTGCTAGAACCTGATGAATTATGTGGTAGTGAAACTAAGAGGCCAATTTATTTAACTTGTGTAAATATCATGATGGTTTATGATTCAACATCTAGGTAAGTTATAGTCATGTTTTCTAGGGGATGTTGTCATCCAAATACCATTCTGGGACATTGGGTTTGTATTTGCTCCTGCCAGAAATGGTTTGTATTACAAGGGGAATTTCTATAAAATAGTAATATATGTCAATCTCCCTAATTGTATAATACGTACACTGTATTTCACTTTATAGAAATTAAGTTTGTGTGAGTAAATATATTTTCACTGTGTGTTACAGGAAATTTAGAAAAGCTCATCCTTTACCTAATGGTTGGATTGTGTGTGGGCCTGCTGTTGTTCCTGATTGTAGTGGTGGGACGTTTGCTGCTTGAGCGGCACCAAGCCAAGAAGGAGGCCAAGATGATGCACGATCCTCTCACCTCTGTCTTTGCAACGGGTACAGTCTTTTGTAGGAGCCCTTTTTTTGTCGTTTTTATTTTATGTTTAAACTTTTGCTGCTTTATCACAAACAGTCTGCAGTTCAAAAGAGAGACTTTGGAAGGCGTTTCTGTCTGTGCTGGAACGCTGGCAAGCCACGCGGCTTGAAAATGATCCAGGATGGACTGAAATTCTGTCTAAACTTTCCTCTCCCAATTGAGAGTTTTGTGGAAGTTGTTCCTGTCACCATTTTGTGACCTTGATTCTAAATTTTACCATCTTAATTTAGTTAACCAAATATTTAAGAGACAACTCTATTTAAAGTTTAATGGCATGATCTTGCAGTGGATTTGCTTTATTCAAAAATAATTTGCAGATTATTTTGGACTTTGTCATCATGGTTTCTTCCTAGATTACAGTTGCTCATTAATAATAGAACTAAATATGATTTGGCTCTTGTTGAGAAACATTCCCAATGCTTTTGTTATATTTATGTTATATTTGTATTTGTTATATTTATATTTATGAATGGGACATACAGCACCTGGAGACACACTTCAAGGGTGTCTCCAGGCCTATTCAAGCCCTGCCCACTAATTCAGTTGTTGTTCAGTAATAATAACACAGCCTCTCCTCACTTTACAACAGAGTTCCGTTCGTAAGACCACGTCAGTAAGCAAATTTGTTGCTGAGGAGCATACTATAATGGTATAGTGGGTTTGTGTCAACCATCATTGATATTGTTTTAATGTTGCCTTTGTACCATTTATAGCATCTCTGGTATATTTTTAAATGTTTATACAGAAGTGTACAGTATATTGTATAGTGTATATTGTAATGAACCAAATAGAGGAAGTCAGCTCTAATATGTACATTATTTAGGTAAGCACACTGGTCAGAGAGCCTGTTGTAAGTCTGAGTCGTCGGTAAACAAGTTCGTTGCTAAATGAGAAGAGGCTGTAATAATACTCCTAGGTGGTAGGCTTGTAGACAGTACCCGCCCGGGGAGGTACTACTGTCTTTCCAAGTGAGTGTAAAACGGAAGCCTGTAATTGTTTTACATGATGGTAGGATTGCTGGTGTCTTTATTTTGTCTCATAAACATGCAAAATTTCAGGCACATCTTGTAACTTATACTTACACTTAGGTCACAATACACATGCATGTACAAGCATATGTATACACACAACTCTGGGTTTTCTTCTATTTTCATACTAGTTTTTATTCTTTGTTATTTCCTCTTGTCTCTGTGGGGAAATGAAGCAAAATTCTTCCTCCATGCATATCTCTTTTTGGGCCACCCTGTTTCGGTGGGATATTGCCAATTTATTGAAAGTAACAATCATAATCTTTATTTAGGAAAAATCTTTCCCCCGCATTTAGAGACGGTAACATATTATTTTGTTGGTGGGATATGGCTGGTTTGTTGAAAGAAGAACATATTATTTAGACAAAGTCTAGGTCAGAGATTTACTTGACATTTGGTTGTGCATTGGTAACATTTTGTTGTGTATGGAGAAAGCCCATGGTTATGCACAGCAATTTGGGTTCTAAAAGACATAGATGCTTTAAGCATACATTAATTGAACATTATGTAGGTTTAACCTTAGATAACTCAGTAAAATCAAACTGATTTTCTGAACCCTTTTTTTTATTTCAGGATACACAAGTATTGAAAAAAGTTTGAAATCAATCCAGAAAGACATTCACAGGGTATTGTGTATGAACTTCGTGACGTACTAGTACGCATAAATTCTAGCACCTTCAAATCAAGTGGGTAAAGGCTGGTAGGCCTAGATGTGAAAGAATGGGTCTGCATGGTCAATGTGCACAGTATAAAAAAAATTCTGCAGCAAACAGTGTATTATGAGAAAAAAAAAACTCCGACTGTGTTTTTGGTTTAAAACAGTGACTTTGCGGTCTATTTTGGTATGGTATTTATGGTTGTATTCTCTTTTTATTTGTCTCATTTGATAGAATGGAAGATATGTTACAGAACTAGAGATAATTTTAATTGGTTTCACGATGACAAGTACCTTGAAATTGAGCGCGAAGTAAACAAATCACGTCAAGTGCCCAATGCACGTCAACTGGTGAGTCTGATATTCTTGCACAAGTGTGCTGATATTATTTATATTGTTTTCACAATGATGCAATAGTATACATAACAGTAGATGTTCTATTTTTTGTGAGAATAAAAATTCAAAATGGAAAGCAAAAGTAATGTAAGAGGGTCCTGGAGATGTGACTAATGAACAGATAAAATGTTGTTTTAGTGCCAGGAATGTCCGTCTTGTTTATTCTGGATCCTATTTTGAAATTGGCATCTTTTGAAATTTGTGTGAAATTCGCCAAATTGTCAATTTCTGACCACTTTATTGGGTGGGTGAAATCGGTAAATGGGCGGTTTCTTTTACTCAATCAATAGAACAAATGGAATTCTAGTGAAATAGCCATGATTTTAGTAGACTGAAACATTGGAATTGGCGTAAAAATTGTCGCTACAGCTAACTTCGCAAGAACATAATTCCGTAAGTTTTCCATAAAATTTCATACTTTTGGTGTCATTATGATCGAAAAAAGATTCTCTATCATTTCATAAGAAAAACTAATTTTTTTATTTTTCAAATATTTTTCAACCCCGAGTGGGAGTTAAGGATCGAGGATCTCGACCCTGAAAGGGGTTAAACATTGTGAAAAAAATAAACAGATGATTCACAGCAGATATTTGCCTTTCAGAGACACCTCTTAGTTGAACCTCAACTTATGAGTGCCCCAACGTACGAGTTTTTCAAGATACGAGCAGTCGCTCAGTCAATTATTTGCTTCCAGATGCAAGTGGGCCTCAAGGAAGGTTCCAATATTCCTTGACGCTGGTGAGGGGCTCTTGCACTTGATTTAGGGAATTGCATCTCAGTTGTTTGTTGGACTATCTTATTGAAACTTGGGCAATGTAGATGGAAAGATGTTTCTTAACGTTCACCAAATTTGAAAGAAATCGGACCATAAATAATGGAGTTCACTTCTCAGCTATTAACTGCCCCTTAGCAGTATATTTTTGTATGGTTTTTATGGCTGTATTCTCATTTTTTTGGTCTCAATTGATAGAATGGAAGATATATTACAGAAATAGATATGATTTTGATTGGTTTCATAAAAAGTACCATGAAATTGAGCTCAAAGTAGCAGAAATGCTCGATTCTTTGGCTATGTTCAAGAGTAAACAAATGACATCACTGTCCAATACCTGTCCAACTGGCCATTCCAATACATAGTCATGAATGGGTTGATATTATTTATACAATTATTACAATAATGCAGTAGTCTGCATAACAGTAAATCTCCTATTTTTTGTGTGAATAAAAATTCCAAATGGTAAGCAAGAGTATTATAAGAGTACATACATACTAAGAAATAATAGTAATAATAATAATAATAATAACAATACAGTGGACCCCCGCATAACGATTACCTCCGAATGCGACCAATTATGTAAGTGTATTTATGTAAGTGCATTTGTACGTGTATGTTTGGGGGTCTGAAATGGACTAATCTACTTCACAATATTTCTTATGGGAACAAATTCGGTCAGTACTGGCACCTGAACATACTTCTGGAGTGAAAAAATATCATTAACCGGGGGTCCACTGTACATATAAAATAATGCATGTAATTATATAATATACGTAATATAATATAAATTATTATAAGACTATGTACGTGCTAATTAATAATAATAATAATAATAATAATAATGATAATATGTATAATAATAATAGTATAATAATATATAATAATATTATAATACGTATAATAATCTAGGTAGTAGGTTGGTATACAGCAACCACCCAGGGAGGTACTACCATCCTGCCAATTGAGTGTAAAACAAAAGCCTGTAATTGTTTTTCATGATGGTAGGATTGCTGGTGTCCTTTTTTCTGTCTCATGAACATGCAAGATTTCAGGTACGTCTTGCTACTTATACTTACACTTAAGTCACACTACACATACATGTACAAGCATAAAAAAGCCATACCACGGGCGGGGGTAGAACCCGCGATCAGAGAGTCTCAAAACTCCAGACCGTCGCGTTAGCCACTGGACCAGCTAGCCACAATAAGATTCGTCCAACTAGGTATATTTCTACTGGTGTAGAAATATACCTAGTTGGACGAATCTTATTGTGGCTAGCTGGTCCAGTGGCTAACGCGACGGTCTGGAGTTTTGAGACTCTCTGATCACGGGTTCTATCCCCGCCCGTGGTATGGTTTGTCTGCAATCGTGTCATTACGATTTCGTGAGTCGTGTACAAGCATATATATATACACACACCCCTCTGGGTTTTCTTCTATTTTCTTACTAGTTCTTGTTCTTGTTTATTTCCTCTTACCTCCATGGGGAAGTGGAACAGAATTCTTCCTCCGTAAGCCATGCGTGTTGTAAGAAGCGACTAAAATGCAGGGAGCAAGGGCTAGTAACCCTTTCTCCTGTATAAATTACTAAATTTAAAAAGAGAAACTTTTGTTTTTCTTTTTGGGCCACCCTGCCTCGGTGGGATATGGCTGGTTTGTTGAAAGAAGAAAAGGAGAAACTTTCATTTTTCCTTTTGGGCCACCCCGCCTCGGTGGGATACGGCCGGTGTTTTGAAAGGAAGAAGAAGACGTATAGTAATAATACATGTATAATAATAATGTACTAATTATAATAATAGATGGCTTTGAAATCAGTCAATCAATCAATCAAGTTTATTCTCTATAAGGATTACAATGGGGGGTTTATAGATTTTGGATATTGTGTGGTTTACATGTTTTAAAATACTAATTACAGAGGGGGCCACTAGGACACCTAGCATGGCTAGGCATTTCGGGCAGACTTAGATTAATTCTAAACTTTAAATTATTACAGATTATGGTATTAAGGCTAAGTGACTACATTATAGTTTGTAAGTTTAGCAATGTGAATGCTTTTGTTTTTGGCACAATGCATAGTGTCTATATTGAAGTATCATAGGCAAGCTTATGACTAGTTAGG